GGAAAATAAAAAGCTAAATAAACCTTACAATATGATGTCTGTATTTGTGAAAAAAACTTAGTTGTAGTAGACTTTACCCATACTTTACTATATGTTAACAAAGTTTGATACTCTGTCACACACATCTACTGACTAGTGTACAGGAGGCTCGGACTTTGTTCGACAGTCTACCATAGTAGGAAACTCAGCTAGTCCATAGTTCCTATTTCGTACACATGTTCCAAGTGTATGTCCTTCTATCAGTGCTCTTTTCTATCGACCGGTGCAGGGCAACCGGTCCTCGATTCTCAGGTCCTGGTGCCAGTTACTACTACTATATCGGTATCTTTCATAGTCTTAATTTTCTTGGTCTGTAGTTCCTTCCTACTCGACATCAAAGTAGTTTTCAATGCCATTAATTCCAAAGCGTGTGCTTCGTCTCGTTCTGCCTGTTTTCCTTCCACGATTAACGTTTGAAGTTGTTGTTCGCGTATCAGAGCTATAGCTTCCAGGATAGCGGTGAATTCGGACTGTTTCCTGGTAGTACCGTCGTTCAAACGCTTAGTCGATGGTTGTTCAGTTGAATCTTCAGATATCCCAGAACGTTTCCCCATGTTGTTAGTATCGGTTGTTGTCGTGTTTTAATAGTGGTTTCTTCTGTTGGTACTGACATCGCGTGTAGTTATTGATTCTTTTGTCTGGAGCTTCTGAGGTTGAAAATATCGGTCTCCCACTGATCCTAGTAGTCCTTATATACTCGGCCGGGGTCTCATTTTGATTTTCGGACCGGTTTGTGGGACTGGGACTTGTGTTCGAATTATTTCTAAAAATCTCCGAAAAACATTCTGTTTTTCATTGTGCAAAAACAAAGCCTTCTTCTGGAACACAAAAATAAAAATAAAAACACATAAATATAAAATAGCGAATTCCTATGTTATTATTGAAGGCTATGGTTCCAAAATAAATAAAAACTCCCGACCGATTCACATCGATAATCAATTTCACTAGTGTGGAGATCACTGGAGAGTGGAGGCCGGAGGACTATACTATTGAGATTTATTTACAAAGCGGCAGCATCTGACGTGTTAACAGCGAATTGAAAAGTGCAATATGGAGTTAGAACATGTTGCTGTATTCGGAAGTACTGGCCGAACTGGTCGACTCATTGTGAAACGCTTAGTGGAACGCGGAATCAAAGTAACGGCCGTATCACGGAGTGAAGCTGTTGCACAAGAGGCTTTTATGTCGTTACCGAGAGCCAATAAATTAGTGACTATAATACAAGGTGATTTGTTACGTATGCCTGCGGAAGCTATCAACAATGTGCTCAAGAGCTGCGACTTTTGCATATGCGCAGTAGGAACTCGCCGGTATTCTAATATATACAAGGATATATTTTTCCGGCCTGAAGGGAATCACCCCTATTTTGTTGACTACCTGGGAGTGGCCAGGTATGTGGGATTCTTTTTTAGCTCACTGGTATCAATTGATTGAAGAAAATCAGTATATATATATGCACATATCCAAGTGCCTCACCTCCAGTCTGTGTTTTCACTTATCAGCAACTTGATATCGTCCAAACGGTTCATGTATACATATGTGACATACAAGAAGATACAGGTGAGCCAGTGTACATCGTCAAACACAAGCTATCAGCAATAACACGCCATTGAATATGCAGATTAGAATTTTCGTATGAATATGTATATATATATATATATATACACACACACACACACACACACACACACACACACACACACACACTACACACTACACACACACACATACTCATACACACACACACACACACACACATACATACATACATAATATATATATATATATATATATATATTGAATATCCCTACGAATACACTACAGGCCAATGAGGCAGCCTTCCCCGTCGCGCAGGTGATCGAGACTGCATTGCTTGGTCACAGCAGTGAAGTGATCGCAGAGAACACAGCCACACTTGCGGCGTACTCAGCGACCGATCAGACAGTATGGCTGGCACTGGGCATGTTCAGCTTTCTCATTATAGTGGTGATGGCTCAGGTAGGTAAACACCCGGGCGTGCATGCATAGGCGATCGTATCCGGTTCTGTCAAAGGGTGCAGTTGCGTACGTGTACACGTGAAACTGAGAACATTTGGTACAAGTATACAAGTATATATGGATAGTGTCAATAGCCGAGCGGGGTAAGTTCTGTCTCTGTTGTGGACATGTGGAGACTGTGGGTCTCACTTATCGTACTGGGTTTATTTCATCTGTGTAGGTAGGTTGAGCCAAAAACAGTAATCCTGCACCTGCAATTTCATCGCCCTTCACATGTACACATTGCTATTTCATTTGTGTAGGTAGATTGTGCTAAAGGCAATAATCCTGTACCTGTAATTCTATTGGCTTTTAACTGAGCTCATTATTGTTTCATCTGTGTAGGTAGGTTGAGCCAAAGACAGTATCCCTGCACCTGCAATTTCATTGGCCTTCACATGTACACATTATTATCCTACCTGTGTAGGTAGATTGGGCCAAAGGCAATAATCCTATACCTGCATCTTCATTGACCCCCACATGTACACATTAACACTATTACTATTATCTTATCTGTGCAGGTGGGTCGTTCCGTGGGACGGTCTGATTGGGCTGATGTGGGGAAGCGCGTGCGCGTGGCTATAGCCGTGGCACTGTTTGCCGGTGCTCTGTGTGGAGGGACTCTGTGGTAGGTATTGGGTCACCTGTGTGTGTTGCTAGGTGTGTAGTATTTATCACAGCTGCATCCTTGGAGCGGGCGTCTGTGGTAGGTATTTTGTCACCTGTGTGTGTTGCTAGGTGTATAGTATGTATCACTACTGTATCCTTGGAGTGGGCATCTAAGGTAGGTATTGGGTCACCTGTGTGTGTTGCTAGGTGTATAGTATGTATCACAGCTGTATCCTTGGAGTGGGCGTCTGTGGTAGGTATTGGGTCACCTGTGTGTGTTGCTAGGTGTATAGTATGTATCACAGCTGTATGCTTGGAGTGGGCGAGTTTGTATATGTGTTTGCCCTGACACGCGGGGGTGTGCACCCGAAAGGCCACCCATCGCCTCAGATAAGATATGACTTAGTGTGGGCAAGTGGGTGCAATAGTGGCCCTTTTTCACCAGCGCTCTTGTGAATCGGTACACTATGGTCAACACTTGGGACTCTTCGTACGCAAACTCTCTCTTTTCTGTGTATGTATGTGTCGCTGTGTCTGTGATTTGTTCCGTGGTTCCCCATGCGGCGGTCTGCCACTGGTGAGTGTCACGTGTCACGTGTCATGTCACCGTGTCGTCTGTCTTTGTTCTCCTTTGAGCCGGGTGTATCGGTCAGGCCCTCGGTGCAGTTGTATGCGAGCACCTAAGAAATACTGGCCACGACCCGAACGCCCCCGCATGTACTTGGGGGTGAGGGGATTGCTATGGCAACCAAATTAGCCTCCTTTTATATTGCACCGTCCATGTTTTTTGCGGTGTGGAAGAATCGCTTCGATATGCCAGGTTTAATTGCGTTCTTGTTGCCTGCGACTAGCCGCCGTGTACAGTGTCGCCTTGTCTTACCAATGTACAATAAAGCTTGTTTATCCACCTTACATACGTTCTGTTGAGATATATATATAGAACCTTAGGCTGCGTGTGTGTATCTGAGTCTCCCAGAATGTATACAACAACATGCTTCGACAAAAGGAATGACGGATGTTAATTTGTCACTACCAGAACCACATAAAAACACACACGCTTGTGGTTACTCACAATCATCACTCCACGTGCACTCCTTCTTTCCTTTGCTTTTAAATCTATGCACCTTCGATCACACCACCGACTACACGGCTGTCTCTGAGAAAGTATACGACAACATGCATCTAGACGAGCACGTCTGACTGCCAATTGGCCACTACCAAACCCGCAGCAAAACATACCTTCTCTACCTGAATCCTCCCTTACCCGTGTACCTTTAATTACACCACCGACTACAGGGCTGTCTCTGAGAAAGTATACGGCAACATGCAATATTGGCCACTACCAAAATCACAGCAACACACACCTACTCTACCTGGATCCTCCCTTACCTAAGTACCTTTAATTACCCCACTGACTACACGACTGTCTCTGAGAAAGTATACGACAACATGCATCTAGACGAGCACTTCTGGCTGCTAATTGGCCACTACCAAACTCACAGCAACACACATTCTCTACCTGAATCTTTCCTTACCTTATTACCTTTGATTACACCACTGACTACAGGGCTGTCTCTGAGAAAGTATACGACAACATGCACCTAGACGAACACGTACGGGCGTTGGCACGTCCTTACTATGCCCTGCGTGTCTTCGGCGTACCGTTCAAGTTCATGAATAATGTTGTGATGGGAGTACTGGTATGTTTGACGATGATGTTTATAGGCCTAGAAATGTGCCTTTTATCCAAGACTATTCGTTGAACACTGCTCTAGTGAGAGTATGACATGTTTGTGGGTAGCATTAAGGAGCCGCAAAAAAGAGCATTTCAGGGCGTTTCAAGAGCAAAGTTGTGATGGGGGTGGTGGTTAGTTTTAGATTTACGTCTGAAGGCCTTAAAAAGGCCCTTCCCGATGCAAAGTTTCAAACAATTTGTGAGTGCTGGTATGTTCAGAATTAGTTTAATACACTTCCTATACACCCACTCAACCACCGAACTCTCACGGGCCACCTTCCCACCACGCATAGGGCGGTTATCAGCGGTTAGAGGCTGTGGGTTTTCTATCGGTCACCGTCGCCGTGGTGCAGGTGATTGGCGATCTCATAGCCCTCAAGTGGATTAATATGGGACTTACTGGTGTGGGTGTGTCGTCGCTAGTCAGTCTGATCTATGGTGCAGTGCTTGGGTTACTGCTGATTATCTGGCTACCGCCGCCCGAGGCGGATGGGGTCATCCGACTGCTCCCCTCGTTCCTGGGTGGTAATGATGATCACCACCACTATGGTATGCAAGTGATGGCATGTATGTATGCCTGTTATATAGATACATACACACACACACACACACACACACAC